AATCACCTGTTGATTTTTTTTTCTGGTAAATATATGGGGGTGTGCAAATTATATAGATGTTGCATTGGGAAACATCACAGAAAAAAATCATGTTTTCTAATTGTTTGAAGATTTATTCCCAATAGAAAATATAATTTATATTTATTTTGTATGCATTTCCAAATTTGCTAATAAATGAAAGCCCTATCTGTCCTAAAAGAAAAGATGTATAATACCCTGGGGTACATGTGTGCAACTGAGAAATAGCCAAAATGAAAAATAAAAGCTCTGGGAATCGAGATTTATGCAGAAAAAGGTTATGGTCTCCTGCAATACTATACTTTGTAGCGTGTGGGATCAAGGTTTGGGAGTGTTCTACAATTTAGTGTCAAATTAGTACAATTTAGTATCAAACGCTTTGCCAAAGCGTTTGATACTGTGCCACATAAACGCTTGTTATACAAGCTAAGGGGTATGGGCATTGATGAATTAGTGTGCACGTGGATAGAAAACTGGCTACGAGAACGTGTACAAAGGAAGCGTGTGCCACAGGAAGCGATTTCAGCTAAGAGCGTGGAATCATTCAAGAGACTACTGGACAAGTTCCTGGGTGACCAGAACATTCAGGGGTACAGGTATAGCTAACAGAAAAATGTCCGTTAAAATATACATAAGGTATATGGATCCTTAGGATTATACTTACTATGCTGCTGTATTCCTCATCATCCATCTCTTTTACTTTCAAGCAGTATGACTGGAAGAAAAAAAAAAACAGAGCAACAGTTTTAATAAAACAGAGCAACAACTTTTGTGTAGCCAAGATGACCCTGTTACGAAAAATATTTTTGACTTACCAGTAAAATCCATCTCTTGGAATACAGTACAGGACACTGGCAAATTCAGAGATGACTGAGTAATCATTAATCAGGAAATGAGGGCCCATTGGCCGATTAAAAAGAATAGCCAAGGCTGATATTTGCCCCTTTAGCGTACTTAAAGCCAAAGGCTGAGCCAGATGTGTCTAAGGAAAGGCTGAGATCCATCCCATGAAGTATTTCCGAGGATGAAACTTCCTCTGTTCACATCAGATCACACAGACCCCTATCCCTCAGGGCCTAGGCTTCAACAGTCAGGCTGTTAAAGCCAGCGACTGAGAAGCAAGATAGAACACCAGACCTTGAGACAGTAGATCCAGACAGCTCTAAAGCAGCCATGGGAATCCGCCAGCATCCAATAGATGTCCATGTACCATTGAACCAGTTGAGAGCCATGAGGAGCACTGGAAAACTCTCCGTCTCGAACCTGTGGAGAAGACAAGAAAGTATCTTCAATGGGGTAAAGGTGGAGTGTCTGGATTCCCTCAGTGACCAGGTCCCCTGCACCATTTAGGATCCGATAATTTCTCCCCAGCCTGACAGGCTGGTGTTCGTCATCAGCTACATTTATTGTAAAGGAAGGGAGAACCTTCCGGTGTCCAATGCCAGACTGGAGATCCACCAAGCCAGAGAGATGCTCGCCCTGGCTGACAGATGCATGGGGCAGTCCAGGGAGTCAGGCCCAGGACCCTCATTCAGTGTCTCAACAAGGGCAGGTATTTGGCTCACAGGGCTCTCACCTGTGAACACAGTCTGCACATTTACCAGATCGAGAAAAACCCGGCCCTAGATCGTGTCCAGAAAGCCCAGGTATTCCAGACAATGGGTGGGATCCAGCATTGATTCTGTAGTTCGAGCTAGTTGACTAGGCCTTCAGTAGCAGACCATCCAAGTATGCCACAATGTGGACAGCCTGAGAGCGCAGTAGTGTAAGGATAAGAGCTAACACACAGGTATCATGGAGGAGCAAAAACTGTGAGTGTGCTTCCCCCATGCGCTGGTTTGGAGGGAATTTAGGTACATACAGGTAGGAATCCTTGACCACTGAAGCAAGTAAGTCTCCCTGCAGAAGGGAGGAAATGACTGATCAAGCCAATTCCATGCAGAACCCGTGGATACTCAAAAATATGTCCAAGATGGGACGCACCCCCCAATTCGGTTTGGAAACTGTAAACAGATTGGAGTAAAAACCCTGAAACTGCTGCTCCTGAGGGAGAGGGATAAAGACAGCTGATGGCATCTACTGCTGGTAGGAGTGCTGCAGATCCTCTTTCCACTGGGGTGAAGGGGGCAGGTTGGAAGGCATAAAACAAGGAGGAGGGTAGAAGGAAAACTATAGTTTGTAACCTTAGGAAACTATAGAGTGTACCTATCGATCCTGGATGTCTCGAGCCCAGAGTGGTTTGGCCCTGTAGGTAAAAGCCTTGGAGGGATGTAGGAACCCTTCCTGACTGGAGCCAATTAAGACTTACCAGGAAGAATCTTAGATTTTTGTTTGCCGGGTATGAGAGTGTTCTTACCCCATGTAACCTTCTTAATAAAGGCATTTAAGCCTTCTTCAAAGAGATAAGAAAAAAAATGAAAAAAAAGGCCTCAGTCATGAAGGGGTTAATCACAAAAGTTTGTTTTTCATTATGTTATAATCTATTTATTATTAAACATTTTTTGGTAAAACACAAAAGACAGGGTCATGTCGGTTGAATAGATACCAAACAAACATGTGTCGGTTGAATAGACACCAAGCCTTAAAATTGCTCGCACCCGCGAAATTGCAAAAAACTACCATAGCCAAAATTGCCCATAGGCAATGCTTTAAAAGCTTTTACCACTCATTGGTTTAGTGTTATGAGTCAATAATGGCCCTAGAATTATTATTCACGCTCTGACATTCATGGTGATATGTAACATGTGCGGCGTAATGGAAGCAATCGTCGTTTTCACATGTATGCGCACCAGACGCATATTTGCACATAGATCTGCTTCATCAGCTTCTCTCCAGCTTCTGAAGCAGGAGAGAGATAGCAGATGCGGATGTGAGATGACAATACCATATCGTGTGCTGATCTCCCTCTGATTCCCTGTCACATAGCTGCCATGCCGGTCCCGCATCAGGCACAGCAGAGCTTGGGAACAGCTCAGCGGAGGGGGGGCGCACCGACTGGCACCTCATACAAGCGATTCGGTGGCTCTATAGCTGCCAGACCACTTGTATGTAAACGGGCATTGTTGCCTGTTTTAAATTCTTTGATAAATCGTGTGCAATGCGCTACTGCTCATAAACTTCGGTATAAAAATCGGTATAAAGTGCTTTTGTGAATAATCCACAGTGTGACAATGATCCTCTGATTTAAAGTGCTCCCGACTACCGATGTATTAAATAACTCAGAACACACTCACCAGAGATCCATCACTATATATCCTGTGAGTGTCTTTCATGGATGGGGTAATCACTGGGGTACATAAAAAAGAGACAGAATTATAGGCCATTTACTCCCGGATACTCCTAAGATGATATATAGAAAAGCCCCTACCTTAAGAGATAAATTGGCTATCAATGTTATTGCTCCTCCAAAGAAACAGTTTTCTTTTTTTGGTGGGGTGGGCTTCTACCCTTGTCCTAGATCTGTTTGCTGTAGTGCTATGAATAACAGATCACGGGCAACCCATTTTAGATCGCATGCGAGTGGACACAGGGTTAAGAACAGTTTATTTCAAGTGCACATGTGACATATCTTTTGGAATGCCAGTATTGTAATTATTTTTGTTTGAATATTTTTGGGTTGTGGAACAAATCATCTGAATTTCCATTATTTCCTATGGGGAAATTCGCTTTGATATACAAGCGCTTTGGATTACAAGCATGCCTCCGGAACGAATTATGCTCGTAAACCAAGGTATTACTGTATCTAAACATTGGAGGGGATCTAATTTAAAAGAAACATTTCACAACATGAAACCAAATGGATTTATGCGTTACAACCCATGCGAACCGTCCAGGGGGACTTTATGTGGAATTAGACCTAGATTGGTAGATTTTTAGGAAACGATTAGGTTTTAATTAGTTGCCATTCATGATTTCATGGTTTTATTTATTTGTTCTTTCCTTCATGACACTGTTCGTGATTATCAATTTTATTGGTACATTTTTATTTAAATATATACAATTATGGATGATGCGTTAGTTTTATTGTTTAGCATTCTACATTTTAGGTTTATTTCAGATTGTTTAGAGTTTTTACAATCCAATTTTTTTTAAATTTGAATTCTAATATTTATGTTTAAGATAATTTACACATTGTTTGGAAGTTTATGCCCGTTTATGAGCAGTAGCGCAGTGCACACGATTTATCAATTGATTTATCTATAGCACAGCAGCTGACACTGTTTAGTGTAAGTAGTGAATATTGAGTGCAGTACATTAGTAAATACATTGTTTTAAATTCTGACAGTTTCCTGCTCCTGCACACCACAGGCGGGGCTAACAGGCCGTTTTTAGATGCCCTGTTACATTCAAGAAGCTGCCGGCCAGCCGTTTAATTACAACCGGGAAGCGGTTAACAAAACATCAAAAAGGTAAGAAATATTTTTTTTTACATTCTTTTTCTTGATGCTGTGAGAATAGGATCACATTTCAAACATATAGAGGGGGTTTTCTCAAATTTGACTGCAGAACTGAAAATACAATATACTTTAAGCCACAGAAGCCTACGCATTTGTAGTGAAAGAAGCCCCAGCCTAGAAAGCTAACAAAGGATGTCAGCCAGACCATCTACGCAGAGCTACCATCAGCTAAGGGCAAAGGAAGTCCTAAACAAACCTTGCACGCATTTATTTACTGGGTTTTTAAAGGCTGGAACATCCTCCATCTGTAAGATTAGGGACTTATTATGGTAGGAGATTGCCACATCCCCCTCAGAAACCACCTATTTCTTGAGGAATGTACCCTCTAAGGGTTACTGCTGTGCAAATCGCTTTGGAGGAGCAAATATTCTTTTCAGGATGCTGCCAGTCTGTATTTAGCAGTACCCTGGTAGTGCATTACCAGGGAGTGCATCAGGAAGGTCTTAGAGGGCCTCATCTTCTAAAGGAAGCTCATACTGGTGACCTTGGGGTGATCCTGTTTGGTGAATGGATGGCTAAACATTCTCTCACCTTGTCCACGAGCACTGAAATTGTGTCATGTAATTTTGGAGAAAGGATCAACGAAGTCAGCTCTTCCTAAAAGGAGACATGAGAAGAGGAACATGCCTCCACCTCTACACCCTCCTCCTCATCATGCATAAGGGCAGTCGTCATAGCAGTGTCTGAGACAGTTGCACCCTCTGTGGCCTGACATGTAACATTGTGGAAATCTGACACATGAAAACTATGATAAAGGCCGCAAAATTTTCCCTGCTAAGACAGGAAGAATAAGTAACCACAGATGGGGAAATAAATGCATTAGAAGAGGGCAGAGAGCAAAAAGGTGGGCTATCATCTGGATCAGAGTCCACAGGAAAAACCTCAGGTATACCTGTCAGAACTATTGAGGCTAACAAAAAAAGAAAGAATTAAACAATAAGGCCTATACATGTTATGGTTTCAGTTGTATAAAATGGACGCCCTGGAAGCCATTTTGTACTGTCTGTTAATATAACAGATCTAAATAGAACTCAAGCTTATGAGTTCTGGACAAAAGCTTTATCAGCATGTTTCTTGGAACCTTATCCCACACGTTCCCAGCTAGTAAATTGTGGGGGCATCTGCCATCAACAAGATACTGTTGCCATATAAAGTTTTGCTTGTGTAATATATTAATTAGATAATATATATATTTGACTGCATCTATCTGCATGTTATGTGACTCTCAGTTCCTCAATTGTGTTACTGTGAATCTGTC